GTCAGAAATTTCAACGTTTGAAGCAACATATATAACTATGTGCTCTTCTGATTTTGAATGCATTAAATATTAATAAACATAGCAATAGACATAGAAATTACTTGAAAACTGGTAACTATGGTTTTGAGAATAAACATAATACCTTAAAAAAAGTATTTACATTGCTTTATCTTAATCTATGCGCTGTACAGTTAAACTTAAGGAAATGGTATAAATATTAAAGATTGCCTAAGGCTACTACCAAAACTAAATTGGATTAAAATCTCCAAACTCTTTACTGGAATTCATAAATAAGAGAATTTGAGTAATTTTTAGATTACCTTATTTATTATATGATTTTGACAATTATCCCCAATCTTGCCCAGAAGTTGGGCTACGAAGACAAAAATTCAAATCGGAAGAAATAAGCTGATTATACTGTTTTCGAATCTAAGCAACTGTTCAACATAAAATGTGTAAATAATCACCGCTGATAAATAGTTTTCTAATCTTAATGTAATGCTAGAGATAATCAGTCTGAGTCTCAGTTCATTTGTTCTACTTTTGTGTTCTTGTATAGTTTGATAATATTATTTATTTGTAATTTAATTTTGATTTTCTATATTGGTTGACTGGACCGAAATATTCAGTCTCTGTTAAAATAACGGCTCCCAGTATGGACGCTTCAACAATGTCTGAAGATTAATTTTCAGAGATTTGGTAGATGGTGACTAGCAGTGGAGTCCAGGCTGGGCATATGGTCTTATTTGGGACTCGTCAACTGGGTGCGCCTGCATTCCCCAGCGAGCTATGGTCTTCCCACTGACACTCGAACTCAGCACCCATTATTTCAACCGCCAAAGCGTCATCCATTAGACCACTAGGGCCACAAGACCCACATCCTGTGCAGTGTGCACCAGTTGTTATTTGTTCTTGTTCATGTTGTTTATTACTAATTATTAATTCACAAATGATATTTTTAACTGCAGAAGGATTAATAGTCAATTACTGATAAACATCAAAGAAAAGCGATGTTAGCTGGCTGAGACTGAAGTATTCTGCAATCTCGTTTACTTACTAATAATTCATAACCAGAATTTTTAAGAAAAATGTTATCTTCTGTCTGATTTATTTGTGTATATGTATTAGTGCTCCTAGCCAAGATTTTGATGATTTGCTGAAAATTAATCGTACAACGTGTAGTATAATTCTCAGTTCAGTGAACAAGTATAACATTGTGTTTATTTTTCAACCAATTCACTAGAATACGCTCTGATGTTTCTACTACCTTGTCATAAGACTGAATGATTTAACTTCTGAAAACTGCATATATTTGCATAAGTATACTTGACAATTTGTACTTCATATGTTTTATGTCCGGACACATAATGCACATGTATGGACATATCAGATAATGGATTCTAATGAATGTTTATAGAAGCATATGAAACTCTTATAGTTAGCCTAAAAGGCAGATATATATATATATATAAATATAACCAACAAATGCCTAGAATGTTTACCCGCTACAGATTTGTTCACTTCAATCCCTCTATCACTTCTGTTTCATCTATTTTGATTATCATTAGACAGAATAATTAGTACCATTCTTATTAATGCATTTTGAGACCTCAAAACAGAGGAGTCCTTGAACAACTACGTATCCGGAATGATCATATTCACTTAACATACAAGTGGAACTTTGATGAAAAGTAGTTTATTCGAATGACGTATTTATGCTTCATCTAACAACAAGCCCCCAACATTCTGCGAATATGCAGACATAAATAAATGCGAAATGCTGCACATGAAAAATACAGATACATCAGTCTGACATAATTATAAATATATTTCTAACAAGAAAAACAAAAAAATCGAAACTAGGTGAAAATACTCTGCAAAATCCTTCATCCTGTTAAAAAATGGAGTTACTTTAAGTAATTACCACTTATTAAATTATAAAACAAGTTAACGCATCAGTTCACTGATGAGTATCTACTTTAAACAGGTCATGTTTCAATCGTAAGTTTTTAAACTACAAAAACACGCTGGACTTTAGCTTGTTTAGTTCTGTCTACATACACACCTTCATCAGCTAAATATCACAATCAAATTTCAATTCTATTAAGTACATTTAATCTTTACACCACCTAATGTGATTTTATAACAGAATATTGATCGAGAAGACAGCCATTTAGCGCTTTCTAAATTATTGTCCTTGACACTAATCAGTGCCGGCGTAGATCAATATTACGAAATTTATAAATAACAGATTATGAATAGTAGTGTTTTATTCATTTCTATGGGTGTGTCATACATGAATTGTTATTTGTTTATAAATCTGGTACAGATTAGCAGGTGTATAAATATTTGTTAATTCATCTACTTCCTAGTCAGATAATATCTATAATTTATCTATCATCATGCAACAACTTTCATTATATCTACTTAAATTCCATATCATTGATATAATACTGACCTTCACTGAAAAATGCCATCTTTGTTTTAGTAAGGATAACCTATCTATTAGTGAACACAGAACATAGCTGTTACAATTTTGTTTAGCTTAAAAGAAATCCAAGTTCACTTTTGAAAAGGCGAGACTAAATAGAGCATATTTACTCAATATAAGAATAAAACTGATATTTAATTGTCTACTGTTCATCATAACACTGAAATTTATGGCATAAAGTTATATTAGCATAGCGGTAAATGAACAGGAGGTAATAATATCAATTAGAATTTCTGTATTAGCCCATTATTTGTTTATTAAGATTAGGAGAATTGACATCACTGTAAACAGCATAGTCTGCAATAGTACAGCAAGCTTTCCTCATTTTCCTGTTAAAACTATCCTGGAGAATTTAAATAAGCGTATATCTTAGAAAGTCTTGATAAAAGTTTACCAAAAATTACTTTTATAGTTTGTTACCATGTTAGAACGAAATCTGAAGTAAACACAGGAAGCAGCTTAGTTTTTATTAAACAGAAATTTACAAATAAATAACTTTTTGAAACGACTTTATTGAATACCAATAGATTTTCATAGCTACATATATACGTGTAATTGTAACGGAAACGCGTTGTCACTTACAGCAGTTATGCTAACATGAGTTTATAAGGTCATATTGTTATTTCAGTTTACATATTCATTTGTCCTCGCTTTTCAAACATTTTTTTGGATGAAATTTGAAAGCATAATCTTATGGAGGTAATTGTTTTGAAAGTAAAAAGCGGCTAGAGAAATACTTTACATAAGGGTAGGAAAACTCAGTACAAATGGAAAACACAAGAAGGAAGATAATTTCCTTCCAAAGCAAGAAATTTTATATAAGAATAAAATTTCACTGTTGTTCAGTCTAATTTGTAAACCTTTTCATTGTCCATCAAGAGTAGTCCATTAATTTTCAGTTAAATCTCTTCAGAAAATCACGATTAACTAATGGTTAATTTGTTAGGCTTCAAGTATATTTTCTTTTGTTTTCTAGTTATCCTGACACGATAAGTCATAGTGAAAGATTGCTAGCATTCAAAGTGTACACTAAACCTCAGTAATGCTGTTAGTGATGTTCATAAAGATGTTGAAAACTTCTACATGCTGGATTACCTATCAGCGATTTAAATTTAGCACACTTCAGTCACAACGTTAATTTGTTGTGAAAAGATAAATACATATTCTTTTGTTTAAATATCTGATGAATGTTCAGGTATCTACACAACCAATGAATGAGATGTGAACAACATGACTAATTGTAAGTCGAACATGTAAGTACTAACTGTATTCCTTCAAGTGTCGAAATTTACATGATTGACTTTACCGGGTGTTCTGTTGTATAAGTGAAAGGACAAATATTCAACCACAAATTTAAGAAACTTCTGAAGGTATGCGCTTATAAATCTTTGAAGAGAATCTATTTTCATTAACATTACAAACGCATAGCTTTCATCCTGTATGATATCCTAAGTACTATGAGAAACGTGAACAGAGAAGTACACTGATAACATTTGTTACATTAACAAAACTACACAACATATACCAGTTTTGCACCACAAAAATGGACAATATACAAATCCTATTTGATATATATTTTACTTTCATTATGTAGACAAGTAAATCTACTCTATAACCTAAACCACTAACTGCTAGTATGTTACCTAAGATATAAGGTATACCTATTTGTTCAGTTTAATTCTTCGTTCGTTAAGATTTATTGGTGCTGGGAATTAGATTATGTCAATTTATACAGTGAAAGCCCTTAACACAAAGTCCCATCAATTAAAAAGTCAGATAACACTTTTCATCCATTTTTAATAGTGAATATAAGTAATCGGTAAAATCCCCTTCAGTTCTAGAATACGCTAGTAAGAAGTGTATTTTATTCCATAGTTTAATGCATTAAGTGCACTGCATTGAGAATGCTTACTATCTAACTAAGCGGAAATATAGATGGTAATTCTTTCTCTTCCAGCCCCGTAAGTATTTACTCAATTAAATGCAAAGAATAACAGAAGTTGTTTAAGTATATCAATGGATTCATGTATACAGTAGCCAGTGAATGAAATAAGCTGTGATTGAACTTTATCTCCAGCATAAATTATCTGAATTTGTTTTTGCTACAATTCTTCTCCTTAGAGAAATACCAGATTACCAGAATGAAAAATGCTTCTATGTAAAATCAGTTTCTTTGTTTCTATGCCAGCACCAAATTTTATCCAGTGAACACTAGTATATGTTTGACTTCTCTAAATATATCTGTCCGAGTTCAAAGTAATTCTGTTTTATTTTCATTTTCAGATCTAATGTATAAAGCATAACAGAATCTATCAAGAAATACCTACCGTTCTGGAAGACATAAAGACCAAGGTGGATAGGGTTTTACCAACAATTCATTTTTATACATTATTTCATTCTCCCTAACTTGAAGTCTACTTTTTGCATCATGAAACATTTTGAACGACTTCAATATAATATTTACTTTTGTTTAATTTGTATGGCACTTATATACGGTCCTGTTTGATAAATGTCAGCAGACTGTTCTGATAATGAAATTATAGAATCTGGTCATTTACCGACTGAAGAACTTGCAGAAACAGCCACTGCACATCCAGAACATACAATCCTGCAATTTTCACCAACGAAAACACTACCACTTGTACTTCCTGTTTCAGTGACATTGCCTTCAACGACAGCAATCCCCCTACAAACAGAAATTGAACAGCACGGTTATCAGGAGTCCTTTGAGCTCATCGAAAATAGAGAAAAGTTGCAAGACTATACTGAAGTAAATTCCTTAATTAATCCATTGGCAGCAGAAGAAATTTCAGATAAAGAAAACAGAGGAGAAATTATGACAAGTCATGATAATAGAAGAGATATTTCACCTGAATGGATACCTGAACAACATTACAATGTTTACACTTGTTCCACTGTTACACCAAGTTCTCAATCAGTTTTGCAGCTAAGACAGTATTATACAAATTTGGAACAGTCTACAAAACTAAATGGGTCTAGGATAACAGAAAGTAATAATACTGAAAATAATCATAATAACACTGAAAGAAAATCCATCCGCAAATTAAGACGTAACACATTTGATAAATCCTCTCAGCCTTCGAGTTTAAACAGTCAGATAGGTCAAATAGATCCTGCAGAAGCATTTGGTCTTCAGAAAGATGACAAGGTCCGCATATCAGTTGAAGAGTTGCGGAAATTATTCGAGTCAGGGGCATTTAATGATTACAGTAGAAATCAGAAAGCTGGTGAAACCACACCTATATCACCAGAACAAAACGAGAATTCGAACCACTTGAATCGATCTCAATCATTTGAACCAATAAAATCCGTTCCAGCTAATTCTGTGGAATTTCACTCACGTCCACCAAAATTTCGTACACCTAGTCCAAAACCATGCAATCTACCTACACCACCTCCGCTACCTTTACCACCATCTATGGAGTTCGTCGACAAATCATATGAGATTACAAATGAAAGTGACATAAGTAAACCAAGGAATAAGATGAGACATAAAAATAAAAACTATTCATCGTGTTGGAGTCAGCCAGCCAAACCAATACTATCAATGAGCCTGCCTTATCGTTCAAGATCTTTAGCTCTTGATCGAAAATCTGAACCTATTCACACTAACAGAGGAAGTTCATTATCACGTTACCGGGCATGTTCAATCACTCAGCGTTCTTTGTCTCCATTACCTAGTTCTGTATTAGTAAAAGAAGAACAGCTTAAGGAGCAAGCACAGAATACATCTTCAAAGTTCACAAACAATAAGAACCCGAGGATGAAAACAAATACTAGTAAGGGACTAAATACAAATTTAGAATTGGGCAAACAGAACGTCAACCAAGCTTTAGTTCATTATGATGAATATAATTTAAAACCGGACCAGATTGTTTGTGTAAATCCTTCTTCTACCGATGGTGTCTACGTTAGATCAGCTGTAGTTTATGAACGTGTGAACGACAAACCTTTTCCGACAGAGCCTAAAAATTTCATCACGACTTACGTAGTATCTAAATGGCCAAGTCCTAGTCAAGCGACGGTCCAAGCGACAAATTTATGGGTTGCTGAACAGTCTCTACAGCAGTATAGGCAGAAGAAATCTACACCTTACAGATCTCAAACCATATCGAAAAGCAATACCATAGTTCCGTCCAATGAACCAAAGGCTTTACAACCCTATGACAAAGGTCGAGTCCGTAGTCCTGTTCATTTAAAGAAAACTACAATACAACAAAAAGATCGAAGTCCAGTAACTCAGCCAAGAATAAAATTTGATCAATGTAATCAAAGGTATGATCACGTCAGAAATACATCCTTGTCTCCTCAACCATTACCTACTCCACCGCCTTCTGAGTTACACCCACAAATACTGAGATGCACAAGTGGTCAGTGTAGCCCAACCCGTCAAAGACGTATTTCTCAACCCTGCATAAGTAAACCGACTCATCTTGATAGAAGTCAATTTCCTACACGACACAGACCTTATTTAAGTCGTTCGTGGTCAGTGAAATCGTTATCACCTCCTCCACCTTTCCGGAGTCAGTGGTTGAGTTCAATGAGTCACTCAAGAAGCAGGCAAAAAATATTTGATAAATCTTACAGCCTAATCCAAGAAGGGCATCAAAAGCCATGTGGAGAAAAAACTTATAAACAATATCAAAGCGAGGAACTAAATAGAATTATTAACTGCACTAAGCACAGAAGTTGCGTTGAGTCGCATCGTGTGGAAAATGCACGCCGTTTTAGAGACAGACAAAAAAAGCAATGGGTCAAACGTGCTGAAGAAATCAGTGAAGATAGACTAAAATATCACGAGCTTCGAGGAAGCTGGTCACCACCTGGTATGCGAAGTCCACCACGCTTAACACCGAATAACATGGAAGAATGTACAGAAAGAGAGATTCAACGCTACGTAAGACAACACTCGCCACCAGCCCGCTCACCGCGTGTTGCATTTCCTAGGTACTCATCTTGTTATCCGCAAGAATATGTTAAATCTTTGGATAAAGGTATACAGTGTGATAGTGTTGATGGATATGACAACACATGTGAAACACTGGGGCATTTTATGAATGACTGTGTAGATACTACACCAATAGCGGAAGATTTTGATAGAAAACGTGCCTATTTTGAAGAACTAATAAGAGTGAACCGAAATTTAGCTCAATGCTCATTCTGTTCTGACTGCTATCACTGTTCCCCTGGACAAACGCCTAAACTGAGCGCTTATTCAAGCTGGGATTCCGAAATCAATAACTTAAACAGTCAAAACAATTTACTCGTGAAACGTGATTGTTATACAAAGAATCAAGCAACCAACCATCACCAACAGCACCACAATGAAGAATATCATCATTTACAGCAGCAGCAGCAGCTGACTTATTTTAAAAAGCCAATGCAAAATTTAGATTATAGCTATCATGAGTACAGTAATAATGATAACCATTATTCTAGTACTAAATATCAAAATAGGAATGGTAACAATAATAAGAGTATTTACCCAGTTACTCTGAGTGAACCTCAGCAGTATGCCTCTAATACTTATCTGCCATTTGAAAACCATGTATATGTTGAACAGGATTCCTACTACCCCTGTTTAGACAAAAGTTTAATGAGTTATCCTAACATCAGTTCTACGAAGCATGATTATTATGCAAAAGCTATGAACTCCATGCCAAAAGTCGCTCCCAATCCACCTACATATAGTAATAATAACTATAGTAACATGTATAACTATTACACACCCTATGAATCGGTGGTTCGGTATCGAAATATTTCACCGTTATGTGTAGAGCTGGAGGGCTCACCAAATCTTACATCACCACATAATCCCTCCGTTAATCCGCGTTCTCATATCATACGGAAAACAAATCATTCACCGCCGTGTAGATTTTCCTCTTATGCAACAAATCAGCAACACAATTCAATGAATTTTCGATCTCACACACAGCAGTCAGATCACCAACTACGACATGGTGACTCATTAGAAAGTTTACACTGTGAACAAAATGAGTATGCGGAGGATCAGCTAAAATATTATGGTAGAGTAAAACAAATTGTTCAAGTATTGGACAAACAAGCTGCTGAATTTAACTCACACGTTAATCCAGTCGAATCAGTAGCTAGTCCTAATCGACATCGACCATTAAGACGCAGTCATAGTGACAGATTCTCTTACCTTATGCCACGAACATCATGGTAATCTTATAATAGAATCAAGTTATGATTTAGCTGAAGACCAACATTATTCATATACTGTACTTCAATCAACTAATCCCAGAAAACCAATGCTTATGTCTTTGTGCTTCTTATTCATTTTCTTGTTTACTCTTAAATGTTGTATGAATACTTAACATGAAGATAATTTCAGGAAAAAAACAGCAAAACAACGACCTAGGATTTTCTGGCTGTTTCAATTTATTTTACTCTAATTGTTTAGTCCTCATATTTTAATAGTTTCCTTAGTTCTAATTATCCTAGTAATAAGTGAATGAAACATTTGGTAACATATATATATGTACTATTTTTCAGTATACTGTTAGTCAAAGAAGACAGCAAAAAATTAGCTGAAAGATTTAAATAAAGGAATGGTAAGATGATGAAAATTTGGAATTTATTTTAATATCTGTTCAAAGTGATTACTGAGGTTATCTATTAATTTGCTTATTTTAACAATAAAGTCTTTCTGGCTATTAACTGTGTTTTGAAAATTAATCATACTGCTCAAGCGTTGTTTAAAGCGTTTCCGGATAACAACGAAGATGTTTATCATGCTGTTAAACGGTAACGGTATTTTGCGAAGATATGAGGAATATGATGGGAACTTGGCGACAGCCTTGATCGATATTACTAATTAATGTTTAAACAGCCTATGGTTATGAGGACTACAAAAATTATCTTTTTTTAGATAATATCACCTGAGATGTCATTCTAAACTGCCTATACTCAAAAGATAACAAAAAGACTAAGACACTTTCGAATTTTTCTAGTTTAAGAAGGTACTCACGTAAGTTATGCACATACTGATGACTAGTTTCCATATTATATAAAAAATTGTTTCAGTTGAAGAAGAACTGTCAAAAACGAAAGTTTTTTTCATATTTTATATTAGATTTATGAAAAAGAATATATGTTTCACCTGTATTGTTATCACAGATACGATTGCTGATACCTGGTTCACTGTTCATTATACTTGAAAAGCTTTTATGAAAGTTGAAACTCTCGGATTTACGGCCAGGACATTACTGTAAAAATCTGCTGTTGAGTATTACCTTTTAATATTCACCCGAGAAACTGAATGTTTGTTTCTTGGTGTGACTGTTCCAATTAACTGCACTAATCTCCTTTACACTTTTGAACTAATTTTTTTCACATTGCTTCCTTTAAATTCGAATTCATAGGTACCAACTTATTGTTATTTATTCTTAGTCATTGCAAATCTAAAATTCCATTTAAAAATAAGATTTTATAAGATTTTATAAGATGAGATGAAAGAATCAAATATTACACATAAAAATTTGCTATTCCAATCAACAGTTTTGTAAACAAACTATAATTTCAAGTATTGGTTTGTAGGGATTTGGTTTATTGGTTACAGGATTTCATCATGAGCTGATATTGGTTAGAGAACCATTGGACCAGTAGGGCGCAGCAGGTTGGGTGTGAGGACAAATACTCGCCGAAGACATTGGCTAGCGGTTGCGCTATATCGTGAATTGGCAGAAGTTAGAATTCATGGGCCATTGGATCGGGTCCTGGGTTCGAACGCCGGTGGGTGCGTACTGCTGAAGAGTCCCAAACTAGGACGAAACAGCTGTCCAGTACTCCCAGGTTTTCCAATGGTTCTCTAACCAATGTCAGCTCATGATGAAATCCTGTAACCAAACTATAATTTCTACCAAGCCAAAGAATGTGGTGAAGATTCTATTCAGAATGAAGGTAAAATAATGAAAAACTGCAGTAGGGGATCTGATCTTGCTTCAGACGTAACAATACTCCTTCACTTGCTTTACTATAGGTTACTGGTTTACCTTCAAATTGCTATGCAAAGAGGGAATATTTTGAAATTAAAGATGCTAAGAATTCTGTACTATGTTTTTAAAAAGGTGTGGAATAAAACTGCCATTTCATACAGCTGGTTCCCTTGATAAATTTCGATAAAGAAAGGAAGACGAAATTTGCAGTATAAAATGATATCATTCTATTTCACAGGTTCTCATCAGCTGCAGACTACCTGAAATTACAATGGTTATATAAATGATAATAACATACTTTAATGTTTGAGTAGTAGTAGCATCCAAAAAAGAATGGATGCGTCAATTTTATCTCTTCTCTACTACTACTCAAACATTAAAGTATGTTATTATCATTTATATAACCATTGTAATTTCAGGTAGTCTGCAGCTGATGAGAACCTGTGAAATAGAATGATATCATTTTATACTGCAAATTTCGTCTTCCTTTCTTTTTCAAAATTGCCATTATTATTATATTATTTAAAGTATAAAACCATGATTTGCATCTCGAAAGAAATTAAACAGTTGATCATAAACTAGAGAAAATTCTATCACAAAGACGAACTAAATGAAGTGACTCACCACATGTGGAAGTTATGGATTCATTGTAGAATTCATTCTTGAAACATTAGTTTTGCAGCATAACTATATCTTATCTTATCATACACGTAATAAACTGAAATGGCTATCAGAATAAAATGGTGCCAACTACAAAGACACTGACAACAATAGTGATTTTGTGAAAATCTTCGGCCTTTCAGTATTTTGAAGACCTATTTCGTAAACTACGGGGACCGGGAGCTTTTTATTTGATGTCAAGCATTCGGCTATCTACCTAATGACACAGAAAATCTTGGTATGAGTTGACGTTGTAGAAAAGTTTCACGCCTCTCAATTAATTTTCAACCAAGTCCCTTTATTTATTTGGATAGTAAACAAATTTGTAGGATACTTTTTCTTTGAATGCACCACCAAAAATTTCCATCATTTAGTTTAGAAAACAATATACTTTCTTCAATTCTTACTAACATCCTTAAAATGATAATTCGGAAACACGTTCTTGGTTGCCAGTATTTCGAATTACGAGAGTGAGTAACTATTGATAGTAATAGTGCGTCGAACATTTTATCGTATGTTTACAGTTGACTTCATTCTCCACGAAAATCATTGCTCACACCATACGTTGGTAGTAATTTCATAATTCAGGAATTTATGCTATTTATTTAATTTGCTAGGATGAATTAGTCATTTTCCAGTTTTACATCAGAAGTTATTATTTTCTTGATGGTTTGCATTAGTAAATTTTTGGCGCCTATATTTCCTTTTCGGATGTGAAAGTCAATGTGTCATTCATCATCCCAAATGCAACAGATTTCGCCTAATCGTCCTACCGAGTTACGATGATCACCTCTTGTACAAAAGACATCATTTATCCCTCCTGGTAGGTTTAAATGGCTCTTTTAACTAGATGCGTCAAACTGATGGTGACTCATGTTATTTGAGCAAAACTTTTCATTTTCACGTTAACTAACTTTACACAGTTATAGTTATTATAGGAGGAGCTGGATGAGAAGCACTGTTCAGCTACAATGCAACATCGTTTACATGAGAGAAATGTATAACCACCATCCTTTATTTCTGGTACCTGGATTTTTATGAGGAATGATTCTAAACAATTGCCAGTACGAGACTTAATTTCAAATATACGGTAAAAATCTGACTACTGATAGCTCAATACTGTTGTATTTTCTGCGGCCGTGAATAATTTCCCGAAATTATGGCGAAGTTATCCTCTTCTCTTTTAAAATGGTGTACTGTTTTTGTTGGGCACGTGCAGATATGAGAGTAGCCCATCACACTACAGTATTCAAAAAGTTTAGAGTTGCAACACCCCTGGATATTAACGATCAAAATACTGCTCTAAGTGTTACTCAAAAAAATACTCACAAGGAATGCGAGTGAGGTTAGGAAAACACCAAATTATTATGTATAGTGTATTAAGAAATAATTTACTTTAGTGAATGATACTAGGCCAATGACTGATATCCACGAGTTTAGTGCTACCATCAGAGATAGTCTAAAGGATTTCGAGTATTTTTTAAGTAAGTCAAAGCTGGATGTTATTTAGTCCACCTCAAGCATCGTCAGAGTCTGTCATAAGAGCAGACATGGCAACAGAAGCCGACCACTTTTGTCCAGTAAAATCAGTCAGCATGAAATGCGAAATAGTTTAAGTGAAAACTATGAATATCATTCATTTAATTCATGGGAGTGGTGAAGCCAAACAGCTGATTTATATATATGTAGCTCTCCAAAATGCATTTATCTTACTCTGCTTCCAGACTAGTCTGTAGACTGAAAGAGGAAGATCATTAATCTACATTAAATTTATGAGTAATTCTTATGAAAATGAATATATGAGCTCCATAACGAATTCATCTGTTCACCGGTTGACTGAATCTGAGGCCGTCTGAACTACAGATATTGAACGGCTGGTTGAAGGGTAGGCTTTCACTTTGTGAGATGGTTTGTAGGATTTGTTGAACATTTCTTATCTTGCGATCCTTGCTACTTTTTAATTCGTGAATAATCCCTGTATAGGTATTATTGAAAGGAACAAGTAGTTCAGAGAAGAGGTTTGTTTTGGTGAATTCATCTCATTCAGCTATATAGTTGCATTAATACTCAGTTTTTTTCAGAAAAGAGCATAATAACAAAAGTGATTAATATTATCACCTATGACTGTGACAACTAATGAATGCATAACTGGAGTTAAATGATGTAACTAGAGTTATCTGATGAGATGAATAATCTGATGAATGAGCTGTAGTGAGATTGCACATAAAAGCGAAAGAAAATGTGGAATTAGGTAACAGTTCGAAATAAATACAAGGGTTAAAACGTGTTAAACAATGATTTAGTTGGTGGAAAAGAACAAGGTTGTTACCATAACGTTAGAAATGGCTAAATAATTTTCTTTCGTTTACATATTTCTGGTTTCTCTATCGGATTGGCTGGAGCTTCAGAGATGCACAGGAGACCAAAGCGTATTGTATTCGATAGGTTGTTCTTTACTTTTAAGGTTAATTTGAAGGAGGTGTTTGTTGAAATATAAACGACCTGTGTTAACAAGGTGTTCAGTTACCGCACTTTTTATAGAGCCACTACTGACTTTCTACAACTAAGCATAAAAGTATTCTTGAATCCTTTTAGACAGGATTCGCGTCGA